TGCCGTTTTGGGTGATGCCGTTGACATGAAGTGAAGTCATGACTGAGTTGCTCAAATCATGTCGGAACAAGTTGTACAGACGTACATCACCTGGACCCATGGAGCACAGCCGACGTGGTTGCAATTTCATGGACCCGGGGCTTTACTCGACAGACCCATTCGGCAGACTACGTTGCCTCCGCCCCCGCCAAGTTTCCCATTGCTTCTTCCACCTCCTCCTCCACCACCACCACCACCACCTCGGTACGCAGCCCCTCGATCTCAGCCCCTCGCGGACAATCCTGCCCTACCTCTTCGAAATCGCAGCGCACACGCCGCTCGATCTACAGCACTGACCATTCCCGTGATGAAGAACCACGCAGTCCAGGGCGCTCGTCCAAACGATCTCGGACAGCATCCGCTTCAGCGCCGCGGCGATCTCGACGGCCCTTTACAGTGTTCCCCTCCAAACGTGCTGGCCGTCCATCGCAGTCCCCATCGGCAACTTGCAAACACTACTGTCATGCCATCCTGCGCCATGGGCGGAAATGTCTTTCCCCTTGTGCTCGTAGACGACCAGGACACTATCATTGCAGGTGTGCGCGACATCAACGACAGTGAAGCCTAGGAGTCGGACATTCCAGACCTCGTTGCTGTGTTTCACCTTGAGTTTGAAAAGTTGCCTCACTCTCCAGCGGATGTGCGCGGTTGGCAATGCATGTGTGTCTTTGCCGCAGACTTTCGACTGGTTTTAGCTGTCGCGCGAGAGCCTGTCTTGCCGCTATGAACCCCCAGTATTTCGAGTACCAGATCGATAGAGGAGTGGAATGGATTCGGATTTACTCTCCGGGCACTCCAGTTCCTGACCCACTCCACGCTTCCACGTATCGGGAGTGGCGCAGACCATATCACTTCCAAGTGTACTGGTCTGAAGACAGCGCCGGAGGCACCACAACGGATCCCATAGTCACGCCCAGTTCCTATGTGTCTTACCACGTGTGGGAGTACCGAGACTGGCAAACACGAGGGTATCAACGACTTGGAGCTCCTGTACAATCCATCGGATTCGCGATGCTCGTGAATGCAGACGTCGATTCCTCGGTGGGCTCATCGGTACCGGATGGGGCGTGGCGGGAGCCGTCGCCGCCACCATTCCATGATCCTTGGAATGATTCGGAGTGACACTTGAGTAGCATGTCGGATAAAGATGCGGTTGTGCTTGCTTTGTATGTGAGTCCACGTTGGGTTGTCTTGCTTGGTGGTGTACATTCCGTCTCTATTTGTTCGCCGCTTTCCTCTATGACTTTCAGCGGCTTGCCGGGTTGAAATGTTCAATAGTACAGTGCATGGTGCAGCACGATGGGTCCTACCTCGCTATTTTGACTACGACATCGTCAATGGGCCAGCAAATACGAGTGTGGAATGGATTCGGATCTATGTACCGGGTCAGTGGCATCCAGTCGCCGCGAACACCCTGGGACCGGCCCCGGATGACTCATCCACCTATCGGGAATGGCGCAAGGTCCACCACTTCGAAGTGTATTGGCCTAGGGAAAGTACGGGCGGCACCACCACAGGCACTGTTTCGCATCCGGTATCCTATGCAACCTTCTATACTTGGTATTACAGGGACTGGGTCACCAGGGGATACCAACGTCTGGGTCGTCCACGCCCCAGCATCGCGAGGCCAGTTTTCGCTTCGGGTGCACCGGACCTCATGTATGCTGGATTGACCTCCTCCTCGGCATCATCCAATTCACCTGATAGCTGATGCCCGTCCTCGACTTCCTGGGGAGTCTGTTCAGTTCAATTCGATTCGGGAGATTGTCTTCGATGCTGGAGCCGCGCAGTGCTGCAAAAGTGGTCTTTTGCATTGTGATAGTTGTTTCGCTTTCACTCATTGTTGTCTGCAGCCGTACACCTATCAATTTGTCTTTCCGTGGTTGCGTTGTCATGGCGTGGCTGGAATGGTGTCCGGACCCTCAACAACCAGATGCCCAGTGGGTCAAGATCTTTCATCCGGGACCATGGACACCACATGAAGAACATGATGCTCCACCTCCTCCGCATACTTTTAGAGAATGGAGGGAGTTCTATGCTCCCAACCAGGACTCAGTCGGGGGCAGGTCCAAGTCACCACGTGGTACAAACGAGACTGGGCCACAGAGGGCTATCGGAGAGTCGCTGCCCCTCATGCTGGTCATGAATTTGATTCCATGTATTTTCCTGATCATCACAGTGTGGCCACGCAGAATGTCACCGGAGCTGTTAGACGCGATTCTCAGGTCCTCGGATGCGGCTGATTTCTCTACCGAAGAACTGACTCGTCTCCAGGAGGGGATTTCTCAACAACTGACAGCTCGCGCACGTCAAGCTTCCCAACCTCATCAACCAGTACGTGCATCGCGTGGAAACACACCATCGGAGACGATTGGGGTCTCCGAGCCCTACCAGCCCGTGAATCCTTCCGACAGCGGCAGGGACAAGGCGAGTCCCATCTTCGAGCTGACTGAGGACTAGACTCGCATGAGTGGCGCACCGTACAAAATAAGGGTGGTCTCTACACTTGCATGATCTTGCTTGGTTGTTGTTTGAACATGGTTGTGCATGGTGCCTGTTCCTCTATTAGCTGGATCGGAGCCCGCGACAATCCTTGCCTCTCACTTCGACATGGACATCGATGATTCGAAGCAGCACCCATGGCTCGAATATTCGGTCTGGCAGGAACAGGAGTGGGTGCGGATATACACTCCAGGCAGCCTCAACATGGCACCGCGGTGACGCCGTACCTGATCTACCGGAAAATTCTTTTCGGGAATGGCAGCGGGTGACTGATCCCAATGAGCCTGTCCAGGCATGGGACATCCGTGACTGGCAACATCAAGGATACCAGCGCATTCTGTCTCGGATGGAGTCCTTCGCAACTCATTATCCGCATGATCAATCTCTTGGTCAAGTTCGGAACTCCGATGCCGTTCCAGTTGAGGAGACGTTCACCTACGCCACTCCGTTTTCTCATGGTGATCGCCAGGCTGCTTCGCAAATCGCTTCAGTCCTCTATGGCGACACTCGCAACGCTCAACGTGGTGATCTCTCGTTCCCGTCTTCTGAGCGGTTTAGGGCTGTGTCTCGCTCCCCTCGCCGTGGTGGATATTTTGGTCAACGATAGAGATTCGAGTTGGAGCATGTGATCTTCCTGCAGGAAAAGAGAAACCTCGCCCCTCATAGAGGGGCGTGTGTGTGCGGAGTGGCAGAAAACCCTGCCACCAAAACCTTTTTCCGTTGCAGCAGGGGGCAGGAGCACCATGGCAAGTCTCCTGCCAACGAAGACACTTGCCATCGGTGGTGATACTGGGACTGATCATCCCAGCGTACCTGCATGTGTAAAGTGATGCTGCTGAATGTCCTTTTGGCCCCTTGGTTGCGGCGCTGTTTGCGCTTCTTGTTCTTTCTGGTAACGTTTTCGCCTCTAGAGGGAAACCGAGTGCTTCGCGAGTCGAAACTTATCCTACTCGAGACTTGTCAGTTGTACTCGAGACTCATCAGTTGTACTCGAAAGATTAGCACTCTCCATCTGGAGTTCAAGTGTGTGTGTTTTTGTGTGTGCGTCTGTGTGTGTGTGTGTGTGTGTCTGTGTGTCTGTGTGGAAAAGGACACACAGCAAAACGTAGGGGAGGGAGGCACACAGAAACAGGAAGAACTACGCACCAACAACAACTTCCGATTATCTCGAAAGCGTTTCTCAGAAAAAAATAGAGCCCAATCATGCCCCCATGCAGATCTGCGCAGCAAGGGCCAGGCAGACGCACTGCGCAGCAAAGCTATGCAGAGACTCGCTCCGAAGCAAAACTATGTTGAGATGAGATGCGCGGCAAGGCCATGTTGAGATGTGCTGTGAAGAAGGCCACGCGATGTGCCGTAAAGCAGGGCTGTGTTGAGATGTGCTGTCCAGCAAGGCTATGTTGAGAAGTGCTGTGAAGCAAGGCTATATTTGAATGCGCTGTGCAGCAAAGACTACGTGCAACAAAATAATGAGTGGATCAGACGTGTGTAGGAGCGAAGGATAGCAGTGCGCCATTCCGTGCTGCGTGGAGTCACGTGGTGTGTTCCGACTGCGCGTGTGAGAGTGAACGAGAGGTCGGATGCCGCAACCGGCCTCTCGTTCACAACCAGATTCTCATACGTCTCGGGCCTTGTTCTCCTGATATCCTATTGAATTTCACTCCTTGCATATTGCAAGAACAACCCGCGCGCCCCCCTCAATGCTGCGTCTAGGGCCTCGTGACAAAACAGAAGAAAGGGAGCTGCGTGCAGTCCTGGTTGGGGGTGCGGGCTCACGTAGGCTATTAGTTCACCCTTCGCGCAGGTTATAGCTTTGGCATTTCGTGCTTCGTGAACGAAACTTCGTTCAATGCAATTTCTGCAGTAAATTCGTTTTCACTTCTCTCGCCTGCTTGCTTGTTTCCACAATCTTCGCGCAGGCTCCGCATAGGCCTTGTGCCGGCATTCGCGTAGTCTTCGGAGGCGCCTTTCATCTTTGAGCCAAAGTGTGCTTCGCGTACTTCGCTTGTGCTGAATAGTTGGTGCTACACTTGTCACAAAGGTTGCAAATTCTCGAGCTGGAGTAATTAGTGTATAGGGCCTGGCCCCCTCCCCCCCCAAAAAAAAAAGAGGTAATGCTAATGTAAATAATCACCGGATGCTATGGATAACGTGGATCAATTAGACGCCTGGGACTGGACAGATTCTATGATTTGCCATTGGCTTGGAAGAGACGCACGAGAGGGCTTTGATTCGGAGCAATGACAAGTACAGCCTGCAGTTGGGGCCCAGGCAATCTCCAAGATGTTTGAGGGAAGCGGAGCACATGTTGGGGAGGTGCACTGTCTGAGTTTGCACCCGACCCCATCAGAGTGTCAGAAACCATGTTCAAACTGTTTTTGCAGTGCTTAGGACTTGTGGGCTTGTCATTTTGTCTCGTAAGTGCAGAAAGTGCATGCTCTGAATCCCGCGCGCCTCGCAGCATTTGGCACAAGCGTGGGCCTATTGAATCAAATTCAGGCGAGGCCTTCGGTGCAAAAAGTAATGAAGTCAGAGATGCGACAGGAGAAGACGAGAAGGCATGACGGAGAAGGAACTCACCAAAGGTGCCAAGAGGATTCTGGACGAGAGCGAGGAGTCGGAGCCTGTTTGCTTGTGGCGGCCGTTGCTCCCTTCGCACGGAAGCTAAGGAACACCTGTGGTTTCGCCGCGTTCTTCATCTTGGATCAAGATGGCCCGTGCTCGGTTTCTTTTGCCGTGAGAGACAGCATAGCGGCGAGACAGGATACGGCAAGAAGACCAAGGGCAGCTCTGTCGAGGCTTTGCCAGACTGTGGACAAGCTGTGCCCGCATCCTGCATTTCAGGTGCCTTGGCACCTGATGAGTTGCGAAGGCCCGGGGCTTAGAACTTACCGGCCTGTGAGAAAACTAGCTGGGCGCTTGGGGGTGCAATGTTGATTGACATGAGGGCCTAAGCGCTGAACAAAACGTGTCCGTCCAACAACAACGGGCGTTGGGCGCTGCTCTCATCTTGGGAAGAGTCAACGTGTTCCAAAGGAGACCAAAGAAAACGTTTCGGATAGGAAAGGATCCCTAGTTGCTGCTTGCTTAGTTTGACACGAGAGAACGACTTCCGTCTCCCGACTTCTGGAGGCGATGAGGTGCTATTCCAGGCGGAGCTCCCCGCAAATCCGCTGTTTTATTTGCAGGCGGAGTGCGCAGCTGCAAGTTCGCTTGATCTGCTTGCTTGGCAGGTGTCATCCGAGGAGAATAACTTCTTTTGGGGTCTTGGCCTTGGCCATGTCTGCGCGGCGTGGGCATGCGTGGGCATGCGTGGGCATGCGTGGGCATGCGTGGCGCGGGGAGTGGGGCGGATGGGGGCTTCGAGGCCAGTGGTGGCTGGGTGATTCCAAGCGGAGCAAGACCAACGCGATTTGCGACTTGATTCCGAAGGCCCGCCAATCTTGTGCGAGTGGTGGGGTGACTCCAAATCGCCTTGCACCACTTTCGGAAGCCGGTCAGGATTGCCGTCTGATCCAGAAGTCACTGGAAGGGGACACCGTGGACTTCGAATGTCAGGCACAGCCGCAAGTGTGGCTCGAAATGCGCTTTCCTCCCAGAAACGCTGGACGCGAGGCTGAGATGCCGTTCCTGAAAAACTCGTCCACCAGACTGGTGACGGTGAAGTTCACCACCAAGGAGCAGAAGTTCGTCACGAAGGTGGTCAAGGCGCAACTGAAGCTGCCGCCGCCCCAGCGCCCCAGCGCTCCAGCTCGACGTGACAGGTGACTGGTTTTAGCGCGTCTCTAAGGCCCAAGGCCGTGTGGCTGGAGTGGCCTCCGCCCCAAAGCGAGCGCTCAAAGTGGGGAGTGCTGAGTCACCCAGGAAGCAGCACCGCCTGCGCCTGTGGCGCGCCAGCAAGGCTAAAGCTTTCATATCCGTTGGCAGTGCATGCCGCACATGTGCAGGTGTGGGCTGGAGAGGATAAGGACGACGACGAAAAGAAAGACGACAAGGACAAGAAGGCCTGGTGCCGGCATGAAAGTGCACCTGGCCCTGTGGCAAACTCCCACACCATGTGCCGCTTTGAGGGTTGTAAGGGCGTTTGAATCGGGCCAATTCGTACCATGGCCCGACAGGATGAGTGAGGTCATTGCCCGAGGCTCGGCTGGTGGGCTGATTTTGTGGCCCAACCGTCTGCCGGTGCCACTTTTCAAGGGATGTTTGGCTGTTCTACAGGCGGAGGTTCATCAGAATGAGGGACACGCGCGGCAAGTTTTGCCTCCATACGAGAGGCCCATACCCTTCGATTTTGCCCAGGGCTGCCTTGTTGGGCCCCTATGCCCTATGGCAATTGGCACCAAATCAGAGACCAAAATCGGGGGAGATGCTGGTCGTTCGCGTCGTTTTTTCATCGTTTCCAGACGCGTTGCTTTTTTGTCGCCTGGCTCCGAAAGAGGCGAGCGCCTCACCCTGTACAGAAACAGAGGCCTGGCCAGGCAAGTCCGACTCTCGCATCTTGCGGCAGCCTGTTGCTGCTGTTGCTGGAAAAGAGCTGAGCCGTGGCACAGCTAAAAGCAAAGTGCAGCACAGCACGCAGACAGACACACGGGCCATGGATCGGGCCTGCTGCCGGCGACGCATGGTGGCAGCAAAGCGGGGCCGTGAAGACAACGGCTAGGGACTTTGCAAGTGGCGAGTGATGCTTACAACGGGCAAAACATCAAAATATCAAAACATCAAAACATCAAAACATGAACTCACAACTTGAATTGAGGGTTCAGAGTAGTGCAGCAGAGTAGTTCACAGTTCCAGGTGTTTTTTTTGCCCGAGTCGACTCACCGACTCACCGACTCACCGGAGTCGAAGTGCACGTGTTCGTCCCCGCGCCAGGCGCTGCTCGGAGCCCGCGGTGCCCACAGAGGCCGGGCTTCACTGACACCACAGGAGAACCTAACATTCGCCTCATGTGACTCATGTGACTCATGCCTTATGGGGTTTTCATTTATGAGAATGGCAATTGCTTCCAAAAAGAAACATTCAACCTACCCCATCAGAAGACGTATGACTTATGAGTGCGTGAACATGTGGCAAGCGTCAAGTCGTTGCCCGACTAGCTTTCGCACATTGTGTTGGTAGAGACTCACAGTGTCCATGTGCCCGATGCCGTGTGATCCTGAACAGCCTATCAAGTCATCCTAGACATTGGCAGCACCAAAAAACAATGCTTGCACCTCCAGAGGTGACAGCTCTTAGATGTGCGCGCGTTTTCCTCGCAGGTTCCTGGCTCCGCCAAGCGGCACCAGACCGAGATGTTGCAGTGTGCATCGGAGAGGGGCGGAACGCGAGAGGCTTTTTACCATGGACAAAGATCTTTTCACCCAGATTGCGTTTGAAGATTTGGCCAACACACTTTGGCCCAGGCCGCGCGGCGTTGCACGCAACGCCGCCGCCCCAGGACGATCAGCGAGTTTGGTTGAGTTTGTGCGCGAGCTGAGGCGAACCAGGAGGCCGGTCCGGGTGCCATGTTCTGTTCCCGTTGTTACATCCTACTTAAGGCAGGATGTACTGAACGTGTTCAAACCAAATGGAGGGGATGATTTGTGGGAGATCATCACGACGCATGCTAAACTTAGAAATGAAGGCATTTGCGTTGCTGGAGCACATCCATAACTCTGAAAACGCAGAGGTAAGCGGTCTGACGCTTTTGGCACGCAGGACGACGCCGGGCCTTCACAGGAGCCCAGCCACCCAGAGGGGTTTTTGGATACCGGAAATCGCATGCCCAAATTGGATGCTGCCCAGACATGGAAACCGCAAAGCCACTTTTGGTTCCAATCACATGTTGGACGTGGGTCGGAACTCTTCGACTCATTTTGAACCTCAGACTCTCCAGCAAGCCCGTCGCACTCCCGGGCCAACGTTCTCGAGGCTCTTCGAGGGCTTGCGTCGCGGCGAGCTGCTGCGGCTGCTGCAGCAGGCCAAACCCGGGCCACCGCGAGTGACCGACCCAGAGAGGGGCAATATGAAGACATCATGAAGAGGTTACGAAGACGTTCAAGAACCGCAAGGGAGGCCCCAAGGAGATGCCCAAGAAAGCTTTCCCATTGTTTGTGTTGCTCTCCTGCGGTGAGTTTGTTTTCTGCAAGTCAAGAGACATTTGGTTTCGAAGTCGCACCCGGTTTGCCTGTTTCATGGGCAGAGTCAATTGAAGTCAGTTTGAAACATGTGGCTTTGACGCTTTTGCCCGCTCAGACGCTTTCTGACCTTGGCCTGGATGCCACACGCTCAACCCTGGAGCGTGAGCGGGGCGCCTGAGTGCTTCAAGGCTTAGTCAAGGTCAAACTGTGGCTTCGGCGAAGTGGCTCCATCCGTGGCCTTGAGGTCCGGGCTGGCCAAGGAGGAGGAGGCCTTGAGTGCCCTGAGGCGGGGTCCGCGTTGTGAGCTTGTCCTACCTTTGGGCTCGCGCAGGCACGAGGTGCTGGCCAAGCGGTGGGACGAGGTGCGTGTGGCCAGTAGAAACGAAGCACGTTGGCCCGGACGGCGAGAATGGTAAATTGAAGCTGAATGGACTGGAGCGATAGCGAGACCTTGCCACTGCGATGGGCTGTCGTGTTGCCGAATGAGCGGACCCCCTGGCAGTGTCACTTGGTCAGCCGTCCGCAAGTGGCGCCTTTTGTGGGCCTAGGCTGTTGCTTTCCGCCAGGCGCTGCAGACTGTCCAGGCAGTGGATGCAGATGTGAGAGTGCGAGCCTCAAGCCAGTCGAGGCTGCAAAGCGCGGACCCGTGGAGTTGATCCTTTGGGTACGTTGGGCATTGCGGGAAGGAGGCAAGTCTCACCCAGGCGCCCGTGCGGCGCATGCTCCTGGAACAGAAATGTTTGGAGCTGCACGAGACCGGCCACGGCGAGGTGGGGCTCCTGTTCCCAACGCGAAAACACACAAATCCGATGGGAAAGTCAGCGTTGGCACCTTGTTTTTGGGGCCATTTGGTTAGGCTGGCCTGGAGCTGCTGCGGGAGGATGTGGGGAGCTCAGCTTGCGGGCTGGTCCGCGTTCCAAGCCTCCTTGCAAGGGCGCCGAAGCCCCGCACTTGGAGGGGCTGCAGGAGCGTGCTCTGGAGTTGTACTGGACAAGATCAAGAAACCAAGGTCAAACAATTCAATTCTCAAGGGGGCTACCGGAAACGTTGGGACACCAAATTTTCGGGATCGGATTTCTCTGACCGAGGGAAGTCTGTTGTGTAACGTCAGGCAGAAGAGCCGATGGAGCGCCTGGTCTCGGGCTGAGAGGATTTGACTGAAATGCTTGCATGCCTCGATATGCCGAGTGGACCCAGTGGTGGATGCGGACCAAATGGCCATGTTCTTGTGGCTCCCTTGAACTTTATCGGACCCAAGCCGATTTGACGCATTTGGTCGACGAACAGGCTTGTCAATGATTTGCGGCGCCTCAGGATGCCTTGCTGCCTGACCTGCCACCTCGGCGTCTGCCAGAGCTGCTGTGGCAAGCTGTGAGGCTGGAGCTGGCTGAGTTCCGTCCTTTGGGGCTGGCCACCTTACAGGCTGGCATCAATTGGCTCGAAGGTACCAGCATCTCCACTGCCTCTATGCAGACTTGGACCCCGGCTTAATGCGCCGGCCCCAGTGCGTCCAGCCGCATTCCAGCTGCCACATTTCGTGCCCCTTTGCGAATAGCGACCGTGATTCATGCGCAAGCTGAACCATCTCTGAGTCCATCTCAGAGAGCGACACAACAACCCCGGGCCACAGCAACAACACCGGAGCACAACCAAAGCACCAACACCAGTGATGCTGTTTTTTGCCAGATTGACATGACATTGCTCCCCCTGACAAGCCCGTGCATCCCCGAAATTAGGGCTCCTACCAAGTGGATGATCTCATGTTGGCGTTTTGTCAAATGACGTGAGCCAGAAAAGTCCTCTCATTGGAAGTGAACGCTCCACGGCTTTAGGCAACATTGACTCTGGGCAACGCTGGCAGTAGTGAACCAACCAAAGCCACACAGCTTCAATCGGATCAGACTGAACTCTCACTTTCCACAGTGCTTGGGGCCGGAGTGCCAATTCCTTTTGCCTCGTTTCAATGGAGTAGATCCCCGGAAAAATGATTCCCCATGTTGAGTTCAATGACACGCTTGGATTGAGTCGGAGGTCCACAGTGCCCTGCTTGCTGAAGGACTACAGCTACTCGCCGCCCGTGCCCCAGAGCCCAACCAAAGTCGGCCTACAACCCGACGGCTTCTCGAGGCCTCCGCTGCCCACGCACTGCGTGGCGAGGCACCGGTGTTCACGTCTTCACGTCTTCGACGCCAAAGACTATCGAATGATCCAATGACATGGGACACGTGTTGAACGTATCTATGGATGGGATGATAGGTGAAAGGTACCGGGTTTGGCGTGCTTCACGGACTCGGACAACACGAAGCTTGCACCGGTGCTAGGGCTCTCGTCCAGGCTCGACCACCACAGAGACGAGGTTTGGTTTGCCTCGGTCTCGCACGATGGGCGGCTGCTTGCATCCTCCTCCAAGGACTGGCATCGCAAGGGGAGCGAGGCTTTGTGTCCGGTCCGATCTGTGAGGATGAGAGCATCGTCATTTGGGAGCGGGCAGATGGAGCCTTCTTCGCCGTCGGGGGGCCCGATGTGGCAAGCTGGCACCCAGTTGCCTCAACATAGTCCCAGACATGACCCTCTTGACTCTATCTCAGTGAGCGATGCCTTGCAAAGCATTTAGCCTCAAGCGGAGCGGTTCCTGGACTCGGGGTGATTTGCTGCGGTTTTCTGACCCTTGGACGCGCATTATGCAGGTAATGTTGACCAAACACCATGAATTTATGGCAAGGCCGACGCAGTAAATGTCTTGCCCTCCTCCGAAAATGCGGAAACCTGGTCAGCGATTGCGAGTTGTGCTTTGCGCACGACCCACGTTCCCTTGTCTACCAACAGCTCTGTCTGGCTTCTGTGGGTCGGTTTGATGTCTCAGTAACATGCCTGGGCTGACTCAACCGATGCTTTGGCTCTGCGGATATGCTTTTTCAGGCCATGATGCGGACACGAGCAGCATATGGGCTGAGCCGCCTGTCGCGCCAGCTGGGCAAGGCTGCCGTGCCTGTGGAGCCTGTTGGGTGCTCAGGGCCTCACGCCTTCTGAGCTTGGAATGAGACGCAAACGGGATGTGTTTTGAGTTAGGTGAAGTGAGTCTGTGAGAAGCGCGCCCAGGCCGGCAAATACCGTGTGGCCATCGTTGGGGGCGGTGCTTCGCTGGCAAAGCGCGGTGGGCAAGGGATCGGTCGTGGATCAGATCAGGATTTGGGTATGGGTCTGCGGGTTTTAGTCCACGTTTCCACTTACCAGGGTTCCATTTTGGGCACCTATTTCTGACCCACAGCCATTTGGGTTTTGGTCAGTTTGATCAGTTTGATCCTGGTTCAGCTACGCGAGTGTATGGCAACTGAGGCTCTGCTGGCGTCTCCGTGCCTCGGCCTGGAGCGCGCCAAATGCCGACACTCAAGCTCCACGAAGCCTCGTGACAGGTCTCGTTGGCCTTCCCGAAGTCACCCTATCAGGTTGCCCAGAAACGGGAGCCGAATGGCAGCTTCCGGAAACTGCCGCGGACCTGCCTCTCTCAGCCTATCGGAGGTTGCCTCACAGCTTTGCAGAAAGCTGGGCCTGAACGAGCAGATTGCTGTGATCGAGCCCCGGGACTGGTTGAGCGCGATGGCTGAGACGGGCTTGGAAGCAGCAAGCGCACTTGGCAGTCGGCTTGACATAGAAACCTGTAGCCCGCTTGCCAGGAGAACTGCATAGGTCGTAGGGCAAGTCCACAGGTCCACACAGCAAGTCGCAATGCAAGTCTCGTTGCGAGAGATAGGACTTCCACCTTTACATGCCGTACTGGACCATGGTCGGTGGCCTGGGCTTGGACGAAGCTTGCTTGCAGTCAGACTTCACCGCCCGAGGAAGGTCCCAAGACGCTTCGCAGAAGATTTCTTGGGGGGCTTTGTTTTCCTCCCTAGAAGTGCGCAGCATAGCACCCTTGTTGGAGGAAACAGGCGGACAAATGGCCGGGCAATTTTCGGCGTTGCTTCGGTCAAGTACATGTTTTGCCATTGCGTTTGCACGGTTCTCAGTGGTTGTGGGAGTTTGTCTGGGGTTGTGGCGGGTGCGAGTGGGGGGAGCTCAAGCATTCACATTCGGCACGGCAGTTCTATGAGAGGGTCTGACGTTGCGCGTTTTACCAAAGGTCTTTGGCCGGGTCTGAGGTGAAGGACTCTGCCCGCCCCATGGAGAAGGCTGGGGTTGCATGCCGAGATAGTGCGACATGGGGAGTGAAGCAGTTGACAGACCCAGTCCCCAGATTGCGGCGTTTGAGTTTCCGGCAGGTCATGCCCACCCAAGTGCAGTGGATCAAGGACAAATGTCTGACCTTTCACCCGGACCAGAACAGGATTGCCTTGGCGGGCGGCCGAGACATTGAAACTTGGCTCGATCTGCGGGCAACCTCTCGATGTATGCTCCAATTTGCCAAAGTTGTGGAGATCGGCGCAAAGGCGCAAAGCAGTTGCCACATTGCGGATTCCAAACAGCTTGAGGGTCATCGTGTTCCCAAGTTGAACCTTTCTGCGGTTCCCGTGCCATTGCTCCGAGGAATACGACATTCTAGTGGTTGCAGCCGGCCTGCAGCAAAACTTTGGCCTGATCCCAGGCTAGATGTGTCGGTTGCCGGGTCATGCACACGAGATGCCACTAAGCATCTCTTGCAGCACTATTGCACCTTCCACGGATGGTCAGGAGGGCGGGCAAAAGATGCCTGGAGCAACGCCTCATGGTCTGAACGTCTCTGAACTTTCCACGCACACGACCACGATTGCTGGCAACAGCCCGAGCAATTGTTCCTCCCCCGAGCTGCTGACTTGCCATAGTCTACTTTCAAGCGAGCGAGCGAGGACGCAAGCGAGCAAGCGAGCGAGCAAGCCACCGACTAGCCCAACCGCTTCCCAATTTCTGGCAGCATTCAGCGAGACTCAACATGACTAATATAAGAGGCTAAGCTCATAGCTGGCTTTCAGCCAGCTTGGGGTTCTTGGCGTTGGCGCAAGGTCTCCAGGAGACGATGGGCAAGAACTCAGCGCCTTGCTTGCCCTGCGAGAACTTGCCAATCATGGAACTTGAATGAGCTTGCCTGGGAGCCCATTGGAAGTTTGGTCGATGGTCTAGTTGGGAGGGACGTACCAATTCCTCCATGCTCTTTCCGGATGATCGCACTCGCTCAGGTTTTGTTCGAGCTATGACTCAAGTTCTCAGGTAGCATCCATTTACTCCTTCGACTTCTCGCCCGCTGTCTGGGAAAACGTCACCAACTTGAGCAAAGGCGAGAGCATGTGCCGCGCATGTTTCGCATTTCACGCCCTTTGACCGACCTTTTCGGCGCCAAAGCCCCGAAGGGAAGGCGATCTTCACGAACCCTGGCACAGCCGTGAACTGTGGCGGCGCCCCGCAGAAGATCGCGTATCTGGCGGAGGCCGCCTGGAGAGAGCGAGGACCTGGATCGTGTTTCCCTGCGCGCTGTTGGATTCTTGGATTCTGGTTCCGGAGTTCCCCTAGGCGTAGGAAGCGCGGGCGTGCTAAGCTGCTAGGTTGACGCATGCTCCTCACTTGGCTTTTCAGTCAGGAGTCCGAGACAACATCGATATCGAGTTCTGCACAGCGACACCAGGCACTGCAGCTAACAAAGCGAAAGCAGATAAGGTGCTGGCCCAGACAACGCATGCATTTGAGTTTGCTTTGGGCTGCTCGAAGACGTACTACTTGTTTGAATGGAACCCAGAATGCCACGGCTGGCTGCAGCCTGAGGTATCTTTGCCTGCCCAGACTTCCGGGTCGCTTTGGAGGAGGTCATGCGGCAGAAAGGCAGGGCGGTGCTCAGTGCGGCCTTCGGGGCTGACTGTTTTCAGTGAATAGAAACCTACGAGAGCGTGTTCGAGCGCGGGCGCGGCAGGCATCACTGCGCACGTGAAGACCAACCTTGTAGAGGTTGATGGAGACAAGAAGATCGCCATTTTCGAGAAGGAAGGCAGGGTTTCCGGGCGGTACAGCGTTTGCATTTGCAGGTTTCCCGGCTAAGCGTCTAGGTGGGGAACTTATGACCAAAGAGTTCGACTTCCTGCACGTCACGCCTCCCATGAGCGCCCCAAGCTTTGTGCAGCAGCTCGCCTGGCGGCAGTCGCTGGCTCGTGTTTCAGCCAAGGAGGTGAAGAACCTATGGCAAGAGTGTTGAAGAAAGGTGCTATCGACATCATGCGGGTAGCCAGGGGAGACGGAGGGTGGACATCTCTCATGTTGCATGCTGAGGGGTGGATTTAATGAGCAGCTTCTGCCAAGGAAGAGCCCCCTTGCAAATGCTGCTGGCTTTGTGGATGTGAACAAGGACTGCCCGTTTGCCGTAGAGGTGCGACTCACATGCTGTCAGCATCTCAGAAGTTTCTAGCGAAGGAGACCTGCCAGCACAACAAGTACCCCAACGTTTTCTCACTGGGCGATTGCTCATCCCTGCCGACCTCCAAGTGACTCAGCTGATGGGTCCAATGCTGGCGTGTTTGTACGCTTTTGGTGGCCTTTGCTCCAGTGAGAATTCGCCGGGGTGGACAGAATGCAGACCCGTTTTGGGGACCCGCATTCAAGACGCAACACAACGCCCGTCTCAAAGCACAAGAAAGCTTGAAACTGTTTTCGTAGCTGAGGACCTATTCTGCCATCTCTTCTCAGGCTCCTGTGGTGGTTAACAATGCCTCTCAATCGCACGCAGTCCTCATGTTGTGCGTGGCGGGGCGACGGAAAGTGAACTGTTTGCTTCCACAATCCACACATATTTCAAGGAAGCCCAGAGACGGCTAAGCCATCGAGTCGTAGATGCCTGGCACACGTGGATTGGCTATGGCCAAGGTGCAGGCGTTGATGCAGCACCAGCCAGTGACTTCCACGTACGATGGGTACACTGCCTGCCCTGTGCTGCTGGGCGAGCCTCGGCAGAACTGGGGAATTTTGGGCAAGGAACCACCGAAGTCGAGGTCGGAAAACGAGTACAGTTAAACAATGGTAGACGCACACGCAGAAATTTTGCCCTGTCGGGAAGCTTTGTTCTTTGGCTACATGTCAGGATGGTAAGCTCATGCTGGCGGAGTTCAACGGATACACTATGGAGGCTGCTCCCACCTTTCCTGTGGTGGACCAGAAGAAGGGAAACATATTCTTCTATTTTCTGCCGCTTGGACTAGAATCTGATGGGACCAAGGTGCATGTAGGGCTCTGCTGGGAATTCCTGCAAAGCCCCAGATTGTTGCAAGATGGAAAGACTCGATTCAGGAAGCGCTGGGTGTTCGAGCGCTGCTACTGGCATTGGATGCCGTTGGGTCGGTGGCATCCTGGCAGCACGCGGCCGATGTTTTGCCCAAGCGTTAGCGTTCTTTCTCCACGCCTTGCTGGAGGCTGGGTCGGGTCATCCGGCCTCAGAACGCATTCATGCTGCAAAAATGGTCACTAGTTTGCTGGAACAGAGAGCGGGGTGACTGCCAGCGAGGTATGGCAAGTACGGGCCCCTCGAGCCCTCTCCCAAGCACAAGGCGTGCCTA